GGACGGCTTTAGAGATGCCCCGATTAGAAGCTGTTGGCGTGGGAAACTGAAGGCAGGCTAGTTACAAGCAGGGCATACTATGCGATTGCTTAAGGGAGCATATTTAGCTTTCTCTGATCAGTAGTAAGTTGGAAGCAAGGACAAAAATTTATTAATCAAGTCCTGGACATGGGGCCAATTGTTACAGTTATTGTTATGCTGCCTGGACTGGTTGCTAGAGACTTTGTCTGATTTCCTGTAAGTCTGAGATATGCATAGTAAGGAAGGCTTCCTGGGCCAGTTATTGCAGCTAATGGGTTGGTTTGTTGGGCTGGTTGCTGCAGACTGTGGGTCAGAGATCTATTTTGACACATGGTGTGGCCATTGTTCCTTTTTATAGTCAGTCTCTCAATACCTAGAAAATGTAGAATAAACCAGCTGATACCATATGGCCCTGAGGACGTGTGTTAGAATGTAGGGAAACAAACATTTAAGAGTTCTGTCCCCTCACGGAGGGCACAGAAGGAACAGAAAGATGGAAAATCCAAGTCTTTTCATTCATTCATTCATTTACTTGGCACATATATGCAGCAATTGTTTGCTATGTGTTCCAGATATTGTCCCACGGCCTGAGAGTACACTGGGGTCCTCTAGGAATGTGCTGTCTCCAAGAGAAGAAACGCAGGTCAACGTGGCAGTATTTGTAGAACTTCTCTCATCTGGGGACCAGGAGGCTCTGGAGGAGGTAACACTTAAGCTGACTCTTGAGCCAGGTGAAGGAGAAAAGGAAGTGAGGTATAGCATAGGCAAAAGTTGAGAGGCGAGGTGGACATACCCTCTGCCCCAACCAGGTCATGTTTAAGCCAGACTTCCCCATGTAGTCACAATCACAATGCCTTTCTTTCTTTCTTTTTTTTTTTTTTTTAAACAGAGCCTCAAGCTGTCACCCTGGGTAGAGTGCTGTGGCATCACAGCTCACAGCAACCTTCAACTCCTGGGCTTAAGCAATTCTTTTGCCTCAGTCTCCCAAGTAGCTGGGACTACAGGACCCCGCCACAACGCCCAGCCATTTTTTGGTTGTAGTTGTCATTGTTGTTTGGCGGGCCCTGGCTGGATTCAAACCCACCAGCTCTGGTGTATGTGGCTGGCACCTTAGTCGCTTGAGCTACAGGCACCGAGCCATCACAATGCCTTTCGTGTTCAAGAGTATCACCCTAAGTATGGTGCATATGAGAAATGTAAGGTTGGGGGTGTAGGGAGCAGAAGTGAGTTTCAGAGGTGATCAGGGATTCAAAGGTCACCTTAAATACAATTGACCCTGGCCTCAGAGCTGGAGTGCTACAGGGAGGGGAGACTGGAGAGAATGGAGAGCCCAGTCCCGCCTAACAGGAGGGCTGTGTCTAGCTGTAGCTTCGTGTTGCCAAACATTCCAGTTTTTCAAGAGAACCCATAAATTGTCAAGAGAACTCATGGATTTTTCTTGGAAATCTCTCAATTTTAAAATGTTAACAACTGATCAAAAACAAACAAGGCTGGGTGGTGCCTGTGGCTCAGTGAGTAGGGCGCTAGCCCCATATACTGAGGGTAGCAGGTTCAAACCCAGCCCCGGCCAGACTGCAACAAAAAATAGCCAGGCCTGTGGCAGGCACCTGTGGTCCCAGCTACTCAGGAGGCTGAGGCAAGAGAAATCTCCTAAGCCCAAGAGCTGGAGGTTGCTGTGAGCTGTGACGCCACAGCGCTCTACTGAGGGCAACGAAGTGAGACTCTGTCTCAAAAAAAAAAAAAAAAAAAACAAAGCCATACAGGCCAAATAAAACCTGAGGGTTAATGTGGCCCCAAAGCTGTCAGTTTGAAATCTCTTTTCTAAACTGGCAGTGATTAAGAGCTAGGAATTTCCAAAACCAAGGCCCATGTGTTTTCCGCTGGGAAAGGGTACCCCATACCCTCAGGGCACACTCTCTAGGGAATCTCTCCAGAGAAGGCAAGGAAAAGGCCTTTCTAGTACCATTCTCATGCATCTATGGGGAGACAGGCCATTCTGTCACCAGGTGCAAAGTGACAAAAGGGTCACCCACCCCTCCCCTTTGGTATTCTCAGAGGTAGAGGATATTTACCCTTGGATTTCCTTAGAGACCAAATCCAGTGGGATCACCAGGAAGGTCCTATACATGAGAAGTATAACTGCAGCCTATGCCCATCTCCAGGAGGAGAGAGGGGAACACTTCCAGACTCTCTATTTTGAACACTGGCCCTATCCTAAGTACTGAAGAGGGAGGGGATTGAAATGCTATTTGGGGTAGCAGCACCATCAAGAAACCTTTAGGTTTTACCACAAGTCCAGTTTCGTCAACAGTAGGAAAGCAAGATCTCTGGGAAGGCAGTGATGTTAGTTACAATACAGAGTCAACGGCTGTGTCAAAGGCTCAGAATAACAAGGTCTCCAACAAGATCAGTGTTCATTTCTCTCTCCTGTAATAGAATAAGAACATGGAGTCCAGGGCTCACATGGTGGTTCCACAGCGTCCGGACTCAGGCTTCTCTGTCCACTCTGGCATTCTCGGCTTGGGTGTTGGCCCTTGGCTGTGAGGTCCAGAACGGTGCACACTCAAGCCAGTGTAAAGATGTTGAAGAGAAAGAGAAGACGCTTTCTCTCAAAGCACCTGATTCCACAGTTGTTCACTCTACTTCAACTCACATCCCATTAGCCAAACCTAGCCATGTGGCCACCACAGCCGCAAAGGAGTCTGGGAAATATGCTCTTTCACTGCGTGGTTATATGAGTTGCCCATTGAAAATGGAGAACCCACTCCAGAACACAGAGTATTGCAACATCAGTGATTTATTATTTCTCACAGTTGTGTGAGGTGACAATCTGAGTGGTTCAGTTGGACTTACCTGTGGCTGCAGTCATCAGATGGTGGGACTGGGCTGGAAGGCTCATGTTGGTCTTATTCGTACAACTGGCAGTCACAGTAGCTGTTGGCTGAGGCCTCATCTGTCTCCTTGAGGGCACACATTCTCCAGTAGGCTACATGCATCACAGCATGGTGGCCTCCACATTTGGGAGGGGGATGACAGAAGCTACCTTGCTTCTTAAAGTACAGGCTCCAGAACCCATCTAACCATTCTACCACATTCTGTTGGTCAAATCTAGCCACGAGACGAGCCCAGATTCAAGGAGAGAGACACATAGGCTCTGGGGGTTATAAGTATAACAATCTACCATGGTGGCCCAGATAGGAATTCTATTACCAAGTAGGAGAGGGAGGACATACACTGAAGGAATTTATTTATTCTGAAGCGAGAGACACCGCCCCCCCCCTCAATAAAAATGAATCCAGCCTTTCTGGGTTTGGCTTCTTATCACTGGAGATTTACAGTCCTGTTTATTAGTAACTTTGTGGTCACGCCAGGGTAATTTGTCACCTGAAATGATTTACTTTTCTCACTCGTTATAAAGTTCCTATCAGGCTGAATTTAACATAAGCTTCTAATTCAAAGATGCTAATGTGGACTCTGAGCCCACAGGCCCCTTAGCTGCCCAGGCAAGGACAGGTGACTACAAGGAAAGGGGCTCTTTCCTTCTTGGTTCAGTTAAGGGTTTCTGGAGATATTAAGGACTTTTAACTTTCAACTTAAGGAAAAATAAACATTCTTAACAGATTTTACTTTAAAGTCACAAGAAGAAATTTTGCACAACCAGCTAAAGGTGACCATGTGTGTGGCACCCCCCCAAGGATAAAAAGGGCCATTGTCTCGCTAGTCTCCTTCTGATAACATCTTGTTGCACTTTGAATAAAATGGGAACTCCTCACTGTCTTACAAAGTACATAAGCTCAGGTCCTGCCCACTTTTCTAGCCTCACCGGTGCTACCTTCTGCTAGGAAAGCTTCTGCCCCTACATGAGTCAGATGTCACCTCCCTTGGGGCCCCTTCCTTCACCTCCCTAAGAAGTAAGCCCTTCTCTCCTCTTATCTCATCTTGGATAGGTCATCTACACCATGATTTTCTCACATTTCAATGAACATGATTAAATTTCATTTTTGACCAAAAAAAAAGTGTCAGCAATTTCATATGGTTCAAGTTAAGATGGCAGCAAAATAACAGCCACCCTCTCCCCACACTCCCTCGAGCCCTCAGCAAGGCCATTCCTCTGAGGCTGTCAAGACAATAAAAGAAACGTTTTAGAGCTAGGCAGGGTCAGGATGGATCCCAGCTGCATTTCCTTCTTAGTTATATGACCTTGGGCATTTGCATAATCTATCTAAGCCTCAAGTTCTTCCTAAGTGAAATTCAAGTAACAATAAATAGCAAGTAGCAGTCCCTTAGCAGGACTGGTGTGAGAATTAGAGAACTTACATGCTAAGACCAGGGCCACGGTTACCATATTTTCACAGTAAGGGACATCAGTGCTGAGGTCCTCCCCCTGAGGAGAGAGGGCCACCCGGAAACAGCTATCAAAACTTTGCCAGCACAGGCTCAGTGCCCATAGCTCAGTGGTCAGGTGCTGGTTATAAGCACTGGGGCTGGTAGGTTCAAACCTGGGCAGAGGCTGCTAAACAATAATGGAAATAATAACAAAAAAGTAGCCAGGCGTTGTGGTGGGTATCTGTAGTCCCAGCTACTTGGGAAGATGAGGCAAGAGAATTATTTGAGCCCACCGTGAGCTGTGATGCCATGCTACTTTACCAAAGCTGACATAGTGAGACTCTGTCTCAAAATAAATAAATAAAATGTACATATTCCAGCTCCTTCTCCACAAGGGTGGGATAAGGCCAAAGTGCATGTTCTATACTGGCTCTGGAACTGCCCGGTGGGATTAAGCGTTATTGGCTGCCTGCCCTTCCTCAGCCCTTTCCTCCCACCTCTCCGTATTTCCTGGGACCACATCTTCAATCAACTTCTTCCACTCAAATTTTTGGGTTTGCTTCTGTGGGAACTCAAACTTCTATAAACATATCCCATGAATTATCCTTACATATATGCAAAATTGACATATATTCAATTTATTAATTCAGCATTATTTGTAATAGTGAGAGGTTGGAAATAATATATCAAAAAAGACTGGTCAAATACATCCGGATACACCCACACAGTGGAACACTACACAACTGTATACAAGAATGAAAAGTAATTTATGGCTAGATGGGAAACAATGTCTGAGCTTTATTAATGGAGAAAGCAAGATCCATACAGTATAAAGTACCCTACCATGCGTGTAAACAACTTGTGTGTTTCTGTGTGTTTGCACATGTGTAGAATCTTTCTGAAGGAGGCCCCGAAACACACAAGCTTCACTGCCCCTGAAGAGGGCAGCTGAATATTGGGGAAGGGACACTTTTCAGCATACATCCTCGAATGGATTTTGCTTTCTGCCCTATGGACAGGTTTATCAATTCAGAAAATAAAAGGAACATTAAAATAATACATGAATGCATCAAGGGAGATTTATAAATCATTCCTCTTTGGACACCCTGACTGGGGCCCCCCAGCTATAGCGTGGGTGGATTTGGACAGGCTCCTGCTTCCACCCACAGCTTCTCCGCAGAGTCTCAGTCCTCACTCACACGGGCTCCGGCAGGTCTCTGCCTGCTTGCCGTGAAGGGAAGTCTCACTTCCTTCAGCAGGGAGAGGTTCTGTTGCATTTCCCTTTACGTTCACCCACAAAAGCTGCTGTGATCTCTCCCAGAGGAAGAGGAAGGCCCAACAGCATCTTCACCCACACACGAGGAAGCAAAGCAATTTCCCTCTGCCTGAGGGTTGTGCTGAAGACACTGCCCACACTCAAGAGACATCTGAGTCATGCACACAACTTGCACACGTACACATGGAAACCCAAGCAGGTCTTTTCCTAGGGAGACCCCACCGCCCCGGTCTCCTAATGGACAAGTCTGTCCAACAACCTGGAGACCCAAACGTTGGTCTGACCAAAGTGCTGCTTGCTGCGGGACAGGGCCACTCAGTGAGGAAGGAGCCGTTACTGGGGTGGGGCCTCCTGGGGACCAGCTTCGGTCATCATGTCCTTGTACTGTCGTTTGAAGAAGCCGAGCTGTTGGGACAGAGACAGAGCAGTCAGGGCCACAGAAGCCCAGAGAGTGGGCGAGGGTCTTGCAGACCAAGAGGGGAGAAAGAAGGAGCAAGAAGGGTAATAATAATGGGGTAGCATGCAGAAGCCATCCAGGAAAAGTGGGGCAGGCAGGGAAATAACATCAAGCTGGGCCCTGGAAAGAAACATAAAATATAAGAAGAAGAACAACCAGTCCTTATCTAGTGGCCATTCTATATCAGGGGCCAAGTGCTACACATATATTAACCCAGTATCCTTCACAAAATGGGTGGTAATATTCTTTTTTTTTTCTTTTTTTGTGAGACAGAGTCTCACTATGCTGCCCTCAGTAGAGTGCCATGGCGTCACAGCTCACAGCAACATCAAACTCTTGGGCTTTAGCAATTCTCTTGCCTCAACCTCCCAGGTAGCTGGGAGTACAGGTGCCCACCACAACGCCCAGCTATTTTTTTTGTTGCAGTTGTCATTGTTGCTTAGCTGGCCCAGGCCGGATTCAAACCCACCCTGCATGTGGCCAGCGCTGTAACCACTGTGCTACAGGCACAGAGCTGGGTATTAATATTCTTGTGTTACAACTGAAGAAACTGAGGCACAGAGGGGCTAAGGTAACACGGCGCTCCTGAGATTTGAACCCGGCAATGGAGCTGCTGAGTAAGAAGCAAAAGAGGGAGAGGGCAGTGGGCAGGAGGAGGCCAACTGGGCAGGAGGAGGCCAACAGGGCAGCACCTTGTACAGCCCAGCCGTGATGAGGGCCAGGAGCACCAGCCCGCCAATGGAGCTGCCCACAATGAGAGGGACGGGGTTGTGAACTTCATATGGCTCCACCTTGGTCTCTGTCTGGGGAAGGAAGAGGAGAGAGAGGGTGTGTCAGGGGAGACAGACCTCAGCTTTCTGGGGGTTTCCCCAATCAGACAGACTTTGTGCGCTCCTTGAACCCAGGGACTAACCCTCCCTATGTCCCCCAATATCCCAGCCCTCACTCCTTTTCTCCCACCTCCTTCTCCCTTTTCTCTCTTTCTCTCTCTTTCCCTCCACTACCCCAGAGATCTGTCCAACCTGCCTCCAATAGTCTCTTTGTGCCTAAGACAGATACCTGGGCTCTCACAAATGCGTCCTGTCCTGAAACCAGGGCAAACACTGAGTTATTAAACAAGATCTCAGCTGTGCTCGTGACCAGGAGATGGTTGTGCGAAGTCTGTGGAAGAGAAGCCAACGGGAGCTGGACCTGAGGGCTCTAAAGTCCATGTCTATGCCCGATGAAGACACAGGACCTCACCTACCTTGATATACCAGTCAAAGGACAGGTTGCCTTTAATAGTGACATCTAATTTTTCCTGGAAATTGAAGAACGGGATGTCACACTGGGTTCTCTGGCAGACAGCGACCCCGCAGTTCTGGGGGAAGGAGAAGAGGAGGGAGATGACTAAGGAAGCCGGATGCAGAAAACAGCCCCGTGTCCCCCGAGAGACTGGACTGGGTCTGCACGTGGCTCCGAAGCAGGGGCTCAGCCTCTTCTCACCAGCACTGGGGTTTTCTTAAGCTCAGCCAGGAAGTCAGGGTTAGGGGGGAGATGGTCCTCGGTGCGGCACATGCTTGAGAGGTTCTGAGGAAAGACAAATACTGTAAGAAGAGAGAAATGAGGGCTCCTGGGTCCCTGCTGAGGGAGCACGAGGTAACCTGGGTCCAGGAGAGGGCAGAAGTGGCTCAAAAATCCAGCAGAGGAAAACAGATTTTAAGAAAGATCAGGGCTATGGGAGGGGAGCTAGGCCCACTACTCTGGCCCAGCTGGACTCACCGGGGATAAGGTGATCTGGGGGTGGTCCCACACGGTCATCTGGTTCAGCTGAATGGGGACCCAGAAGACCACACTGATGGGGAGGCTCCTCTGTCCCAGGTTGTTAAACTACATAGGAGAGGGGTTGGGGATCAGGGCTTGGACTTTCCGATCCCACCAGGTCTTGCCCTCAGCATCCCCCCCTCGGAGCTCCAGCCCAGTACCCCTGAGTAAAGCCTCGGAGGCCCAAGCATGGGGCTACTTCCTAGGAGGCGGCAGAGAGTAGAAACACACAATGGAGAGCCAGGCAGTCTGTTCGTAAGCCCTAGCTCTTCCACTCCTCTCAGTTGTGAGACTTTGAGCACATTCTATTCACGTTCATGCCCCTGAGCCCCAGTTTCTTCATCTGTAAACTGAGGGTAACGAGAGCGCCTCCCAGTGTTTTTATGAACATGAAATGAGCTGATTATGTATTTGCATGAACACATCCATATGCACATGCTTGTGAGCTTGAGACCCGGCCTGGCACCCAGTCGGCCCCGTGAGCACCCCCCATCACTGTTTCTGCATCTCTTCACGTTCATTTTCCTCCCCAGCCTCTTTCTCAGGACCCAGGTGTCCCCAGCTCCCCACCTGATAGTGATGCTGAATAACCTTACTGGTCTTCTCGAAGGCCGTGAAGTTGAGATATTTGGTAGAGACCTCATCGCTGAAGGGAGAAAGAAGGGGTAGGAGATGACAGAACATGAGGGGTGTCCTGGCAGCGGGTCTCAGGCTAAGTGTGTAAAGGAGTGACACATGGGTAATATCGCCCTGGGAGGAGGGGATGGTGTTGGGGACATGGAGGGAGGGGGCAACATGTGCCGGCTTGACACACACACTCACGTATGCACGCACAAATAGGCATCTGTGCATATACACATATACACAAATGCACATACATCCTCTCTCCCACTCATAAGCACACACCAACACAAGCTCAGACTCACACACACAAATACACAATTGCCTATGTCCAGCCGAGTGGCAGAGGCTCAGCTAAAGTCCTGGAAGCCAGCACCTGTTGACCAGCAGGTAGACAGCGTATTTCACAGGCAGCTCTAGTTGGAATTCAGTTTTCTTGGTCCTGGGCATGTTGTTCTCACTGGAGGGAGAGAGAGGGCTCTAGCCAGCTCCTGAGAACTGGAGTACTAAAAAAGAAAATCAGCCTTTCCTGTTCCCTCTCCCTCAGCCCTCGCCTCCAATCACCAAGTCCTGTTATCTCTGCGTCTCATACACCTGTTCTCAGCCCCCACCCCTGCCCAGCCCAGGCCCAGCCCTGTTCACCTGGCTGCCCACAGAAGCCTTCTTCTAACGGGTCCCCCAAATTCAAAACTGCTCCCACCTCAATCTCCAGCCCTCCTGGAGAGCGCCCTTCCTGACACACAAATATGATTAGGTCACGTCCACAGATGAAATTGCAAATTTTCTCACACTACTCATCAGTTATGGTGTGACATGACCCGTGTCTGACCAGCACCAAGTCCTTACATCCTGCGTTCTGTGCTGAGGCCATTCCTAAAGACATTCTGATCTTTCCGGCCTCCAGGCCTTCCCTGGTACGTGCTTCCTTCCTTCTGTCTTCACACTCACCTTCAGTTCATGCCTTTGCTTGGCTAATTTACGCCTAAATATATTTTTCTTCAGGAATCTTCTCTGAATGCCAAGCTCCCAAGAACACCAGACATCCCCCATTAATCTTTCATTTCTTCTATATTGCAATGCCAATTTTCTTGTCTATCTTTGTTCCTGAATTATAATCTCTGTGAGGGCAGGAGTCACAGTTGCCTTGTCTCTCACTATCCCACCAGCACTGGGCACCATGCCCAGCACGTGGTGGATGCTCAGTGGATGCTTACTGAACAAATGAATGAGCCGAAGGGAGAACCAGTGAGGAGAAGGAAAAGGTCCACCCTGGGCAAGGGGCTGGCGCAGCACAGGGGGAGGGTGCTTATGGGGGATTGGGCACAGTGCACCTGGTCACATTGGCCTTGAGGAGCAGTTTGTTTCCAAGGGAAGCTTTAGCATCCACATCAAACGTTATATTAAAGGTGACCTGCAGTTGGAGAAAGGAGAAACAGTGATATGAATAGGAGAGAAGAAACATCCCAAATATCCATCAACTGATGAATGGATAAATAAAATGTGGTCTACCCCAAGACAGAATTTTTTTTTTTTGAGACGGAGCCTCAAGCTATCCCCCTGGGTAGAGTGCCATGGCATCATGCTCACAGCAACCTCCAACTCCTGGGCTCAAGAGAGTCTCCTGCCTCAACCTCCCAAGTAGCTGGAACCACAGGCGCCCGCCACAATGCCCGGCCATTTTTTGGTTGCAGCCATCATTGTTGTTTGGCGGGCCCAGGCTGGGGATTCGAACCCGCCACCTTAGGTGTATGTGGCTGGCGCGTTAGCCGCTTGAGCCACAGGTGCTGAGCCCCAAGACAGAATATTGTTCAGCAATAAAAAGAAATGAAATATTGCTGCATGCTACAACATGGGTCCTTGAAAACATTATCCTAAGTGAAGGTCAATCAGTGAAAGATCACATTCTGTATAATTCCATTCATATGAATATCTGGGATAAGCAAATCTATAAGATAACATAGATTAATGGTTGTCCAGGGCAGGGAGAGATAAGAGGATTGGGGCTGATGACCAGGGTGGTCAGGATATCTTTATGAGGTATGAAGATGCTCGAAAATTGGCAATGATGATGGGTACACAACCCTGTGAATAAAGCTGTTTTTTTTTTTATTAAGCCAAATAGACGTAGACCATGAATACATTCATGCATATGTGGGGTAATAAAGCTGTTTTGTAAAAAGTAACCACAAGAAAGGAAGGGGGCGAGGAGGGAAAGAAATAGAAGAATTCCAGAAAAAGACAAAGGAGAAAAGAGAGAAGTCTGTAGTTCTGACCTCTGAGTTGTCTGGGAAGATGGGGTGGTTTATGTTACAGCTGAAGCTCTTCTCGGCCCCAGGCCCGGCTGTGGAGGAGACAGACTCACAAGTCAGGCGCCAGGATCGCTGGAAGGCAAAGGAGATAAAGGTGGTCATGTTAACCACCAGCCCTGGGGATGGAGAAAGTGAAGGTCAGGTGGAGCCTAAGAGGGATTTACCTACCTGGGTATATGACACCTTCCGGTAGGACAAGCCAGGTGGGTGGAAAAAGGCAACCTGAGTCCTGTAGGAGTCCTCACCCTCATTTTTGACAGTCACTGTCACATTGAATTCCCGGGGCCCACCCACCACCAGGGTGTCCAGGCTGTGGGAAGAACAAGATAGTCCATGAGGGGCTGAAGGCTTCCTGTGGTACACCTGCTCTGGTAGGAAGGAGGCACGGGCGCTTGAACATAGATAATGGTACGTGGGGCAGCCTCAAGGGACCCATGGCACACAAACACCTCCCAAGGGGCTGCTCTGTGCCAGGCTCCCTCACACCTTGTCGTGGTACAGGTTTGGAGGAAGTCATGAGGAAAAGAAACTCACTCCATGAAACTGAAGGTGATGCTGAGATCATCCTGGCAGATATTGTCATTGCCACAGTTCTTCTCAAATGGGAACTGTAAAATAAAAAATATGATAAAATGAAAGGAAAGGAATTATGAATATTATGAAATGAAACAGAATAAACTATTGAAAGAGACCAGAATGAGCTTCAGCGATCTTGGCCTCTGTTCTCTTCCATGCCCCTGCGGGACCCCAGCTGCAGGACTCACCAAGGCCATGAAAAGTCTCTGAGCGTCCACAGCCAGCACTGGCCGAAGGTTCCCGAAAGAGGACATAGGCTTCCCCACCAGAGAGAAGTTGAGGCGGAGGGTGATGGGGCTCACTGAGTCTTCTATACAATCCTGAGAGACAGCAGGGGTTTGGGAATCTGCCTTCCTCAGCTTCCCAAGCCCAGCCCGTTCTTGGAGGACCCACAGCCTGGCCACTCTCCTGCTCACCAGCAACTGTAGCTTCAGAGTCTCACACTTCTGTGTCAGCCCCAAGGTCTGTAGTTGCCTGCGTGTGCTGTTCTTTGTCTCATCAAAGATGGCACGAGAATGTGTGCGGGCGGAGTCCAGAGCCAGGTCATAAGTGATCATGCTCTGGATCTGTCCTGAGGTGACAGAGAGCATGGTGGTGAGGAGCCCAGGCTTTGAAGTTAGACAGAACTTAGGGCCCCATTCCTCTGCTCCTAGCTACATGACTTAGAGCATTTTGTCTGACCTCTCTGAATCTCAGTTCCCTGTTTTTTTTTGTTTTTTGTTTTTTTGTTTTTTGTTTTGAGACAGAGCCTCAAGCTGTTCCCCTAGGTAGAGTGCTGTGGCATCACAGCTCATAACAACCTCCAACTCCTGGGCTCAAGCGAGTCTCCTGCCTCTGCCTCCCAAGTAGCTGGGACTGCGGGCGCCCACCACAACGCCTGGCTATTTTTTGGTTGCAGCCATCATTGTTGTTTGGCAGGCCCGGGCTGGATTCCAACCTGCTACCTTAGGTGTATGTGGCTGGCACCTTAGCCACTTGAGCCTGTTTTTAAAGTAGAAATAATAATTACACCTTCCCAATGGCAAACATGAAATGAAATAGTGCCTATAAAGTATGTAGCACCATGCCTGCCATACAGTAAGTACTCAATAACTGGCAGCTAGTCTGTCACAGAAATTAATTTTCTTCCCTAGAAAATTAATTGTATTTTTCTAGCTGCTTTAAAAAATTGTTCTCTTTGTCTTTGGTCTTCAGCACTTTGACTATAGTGTGCCTCGGTATGAAAATTACCATTATATTTTATCCTGCTTTGATTTTATAAAGAATCAGGTTATCTTCTGTCAGTTTTAGAAAATTCTTTTTTTTTTTAAACGGAGTCTCATTTTGTCACCCTCAGTCAAGTGCTGTGGCATCATAGCTCACAGCAACCTCAAAATCTTGGGCTCAAGGGATTCTCTTGTCTCAGCCTCCCAAGTGGCTAGGACTACAGGTGCCCACCACAATGCCCAACTATTTTTAGAGTTGGAGTCTCGCTCTTGCTTAGGTTGGTCTCAAACCCATGAGCTCAGGCAATCCATGCTCCTTGGCCTCCCAGAGTGCTAGGATTACACGTGTCAGCCACCACACCTGGCAGTTTGGGAAAATTCTTAACCACTATTTCTTTAACAATTGCTTTTGTCTAACTTCTCTCACTCTCTCTCTCTCCCCCACCCCAAGCCCCTGCTTTCTGTAATTCCACCTACAAGGTTGTCAGAGCTTTCACTACATCCCATATGTCTCCTAAGATGTTTTTCTGTATTTTTCAGCCTTTTTCTTCTCTGTGTGTCAATCTAGATTCTTTCAATTGACTTGTCATCTAATTCTCTGTTCTTCTTCTAATCTGCTATTAAATCTATTTAACTGAATTCTTAATTTTCCATTTACTTTTCAGTGTAAGAGTTTCCATGTGACTCTATTTTATGAATTCTAGGTCTTTGCTAAAGTTCTCCATCCATTCCTTTTTTTCTTGAAGATATGAATTGTAGTTACTTTTTAAAAATTCCTAATCCAATCACTCTAATTTCTGAATCACCTGTGAGTATATTTCTATTGCCTGTTGTTTCTCTTCGTTGCTGATCAAGTGTCTCAATGAAAACACCAAGGCGTTTTACAAAGGTCCCTCTCTAATCTCTGTCTACCAAGCACTGGGAAGCTGTTGAATTCTCTGCTCTGCTCTTTAGTATTTAAAGTGGTGTTTTCTACTGGGTTTCTTGGAGTATTGACCTGAGCATTCACAGCTTAAAAGTCAGCCAATGACTTGAAAGGAATTTTTGTGTAAATTTTGAGACAATTTCTCTGCAATTTTCTACTCTCCAAGATTTTTCTCTTAAATTTTAGCCATGCTGGATGCCCCAACCTCTGATATTTCCTCATCCCAGTAAAGCTGCTGCTAGAAATTCTTTATGAAAGCTGAGTCTCACTATGTGGCCAGGTTGGCTCAAACTCCTGGACTCAAGTGATCCTTCCACCTTAGCCTCCTGAGTAGCTAAGACTACAGGAGTGCCTCACAACACCCACCTAATAATTTTATCTCCTCTTCTTATTTCTTTCTAGTACTGTCATTACTATTCCCCCACCCCAAGCATAATTCCACTTTTTGCAAATAGGGACAAGGGAGGAAGTCAGGTTACTGATGACAAAAGGCATATCTGAATGCTTTATGAATTTGTGTTTAGCTCATCAGCTCAATATCCCCAAATGAGTTTTCTCTCAGTTTATTTTTTCTAAAAACTTGGTTTATTCACAAGTTTAGGGTCCTCAATTCTCTGGAGTGCAGAGAGAATAAGTACCACGTGGTCACTAATTTAGTAGGATTTGCTGAGTTTCCCTACTCAGGAGGAAAATAGCTTGCTTACTCTGGTCTAGCTCAGAGAAGGCTGCCAGAGCCAGTGAGATCTTTGCTTGGGACTGCCAGAAGGCCAGGCAGCCGAGATTGAGCCACCCATCAATGTCCCTTGAGATTTATCCACCAAGGCGCACCTTCTCTCAGCCGATCCCGGGTGCTCTTGCGGACATGGAGGCAGACTCTGACTTCTCCAGCAGCCTGGCTTCTTGCCACCTGATCACGACACGCAATTATACTCCTAGGCACTTCCCTGGGTGTAAACTCCATAGTCACCTCAACTCTTAGCACTGGCTGGGACCTGCAGGGACACCAGAAAATCATCATGGACCTTCAGACAGCAAAAAACTTCCTCCAAAGGAGAACACTTGGTCTCCTACAAAAGGCATTCTCACCTGAGCAGCAACACATGTCCCTGGGCCCCGATGGACAGGTCCACCAGTCCATCCATTGTGAGGTCCTGCCCTCCGCTCAGCGACTGACCAAAATACCGGAGACCGGGAGAGACCTGAGAGCCTATGATCCTCTGAGGGTAGAAAAAGGGAGAGAAAGGGAATAGGAAAGAATAGGCAGGCATGTAACTCAGTCACCCAAGGTGAAATAGACATTCTCTGAGCTCTTCTCTAGTCTCATCTCCCACAACTAACCAAGGAATTAGGGCAACTTAGAACTTATCAAGGAATTATTTACCTTTAGGCTACAACCTCAAAATGATACCCAAAATCTCCAGTAACTATCTGTATTTCCCAGGGAAAACAAACAGTTGCATAGGAAAAAGTAAAGGCATATTATGTGGCTCACTGAATCTCATTTACATGGTCAGAATAATGTAAACATTCCATGTTGATCTAACCAAAATTATCATAGAAATATTAGGAGTGAATGGGAGGTCAAAGTGATGCTAATGTGTGGGAAACTGAAAGAGAACTCAATCCTCACCTCCCCCAGTGGGAAGTCAGTGCCAAAACACAAATCAAGAAGTGGCAAAATAAATCATGCTATTTGGACACGTGGAGAATAATTGAAAGAGTGGTTTCCTCAAGAAAAGGGGAAATAAAATGTGCATGGAAATTGTTGTTTTTCATAATAAGTCTCTCGGAGCTATTTCAACTCTTTAAACTACATGCAAGATCAATACTGAAAAAATAACAGCCAAATAATAAATTTAAAAGAATAAATTAAAAATAAATTAAAAGCGATTTGGTTGCATACTTAATGCCAGTGTATAGTACATTTGAAAATGGTTAAGATGGTAAACATTATGTCATATTTTTTTGCTTTTTTTTTGAGACAGAGGCTCACTCTGTCACCCTGGGCAGAGAGTGCTGTGGCATCATTATAGCTCACAGCAACCTCAAACTCTTGGGCCCAGACGATACTCTTGCATCAGCCTCCTAAGTACTAGGACTACAGGTGCCACCATGCCTTGCTAGTTTTTCAATTTTAGTAGAGACTGGGGGTCTTGCTCTTGCTCAGGCTGGTCTCAAACTCCTGAGCTCAAGCAATCCACCTGCCTCGGACTCCCAGAGTGTTAGGATTACAGGCGTGAGTCACTGCACCCACCATTTTATGTCATATGTATTTTATCTCATTCTCTTTCAAAAGTGATTTTGTAGATTGAAAGGAAGGATAAGAAAGCATGGGATGCTGATAGTTAATCTAAGTAGTGGTTACTTGGGTTTGCTGATATATGAAAATTCATCATTTAAGATGTGTGTATTGGCTTGGTGCCTATAGCTCAGCGGCTAGGGCACTGACCACAAACACCAGGGCTGACGGGTTCAAACCCAGCCTGGGCCTGCCAAACAACACTGATAACTACAACCAAAAAATAGCCAGGCATTGTGTTGGGTGTCTGTAGTCCCAGCTACTTGGGAGGCTAAGGCAAGAGAATCACTTAAGCCCAAGAGTTTGAGGTTGCTGTGAGCTGTGACATTATGGCACTCTACTGAGGGTGACATAGTGAGACTCTGTCTCAAAAAAAAAAACTGAAATAAATATTTAATTCTAGCTAATAATATGCATGCTGAAGTACGTAGGGATAAAGTGACCTGATGCTATGGAACTTAGCCTCTAGCACTGCTTACCCCACATGGCTAAGCCTCAGAGTGCATCCTATGGTGCTCCCCAACTATAGATTTTGAACAATAGTACCACCCAGTCAAAGAAGACAACCTAAAACCATGCCCAAATGGAAATATTCACAGAGTCCAGCCAGCAGACCTCCCTGAGAGCGGAGTCCAACCAGTGGTCTCACCAGACTGGAGTACAGCCAGGGGCATCATTTGACTTCAGAGCACAGGAAACAATCCAGCCTAACTAGAGTAACTGACATCAAGGTATGCCTGCCTAGGGTCGCTACCAGCCAGCCCATCCAAAATCCCGAGCTAGGTTAAATAATAAAAGTCTATGACCGCTAAAGAACAACTTCAAATAGCAGAAGTGGTCATCTTCTCTAATATGCAAGCGTCATTGTGAAAACACTAGGATTATTTTAAAAATCAGAAAAATGTGATGCTACCAAAAGAAACTAATAAAGTTCCAGTAATGGCATCAGAGGAAATGGAGATAGATGAAATGACTGACAAACAATTCAGAATAATCTTCTTAAACAAGTTCAGGCAACTATAACAAACACAGATAAAAAATTAATTAAAATTTGGAAAGCAACTCATGAACAAAATCAGAGGTTTAACAAAGAAATAGAAATAGTTTTTAAAACTAAATAAAAATCCTAAAGATAGGGCAGCACTTGTGGCTCAAAAGAGTAGGACAATGGCCCCATATGCCAGAGGTGGCAGGTTCAAACTCAGCCCCAGCCAAAATCTACAAAAAAAAAAAAAATCCTAAAGATAAAAAGTTTAATAATTGAGATGAGGAGTGGCACCTGTGGCTCAAAGGAGTAGGGCACTGGTCCCATATGCTGGAGGTGGTGGGTTCAAACCCAGCCCTGGCCCAAAACTTCAATAATAATAATATAATAATAATAATAACTGAGATGAAATTTTCAATAGAAAGCTCAACAGCAGACTCAATAAAGCAGAAGAAAGAAATACTAAACTTAAAGGCAGACTATTTGGAATTAATCAATCAGAGAAGAAAAAAGAATAAGAAAAATAAAGTAAGTCTACAGGAATGATGATGATTAGTTCACTTGATGCCAACAAGTGAACTAATAAAAGTTTCAGAACGGGAAGGGAGAGGAAAAGGCTTAGAAAGCTGAAAATTTCCTAAATCTGGGGAAAGACAACAACATCCCAGTACAGAAAGCTCAAAGGTCACCAGTCAAATTCAACCCAAAGATGTACCACAGCACATCATAATTTAATTATCAAAAGTCAAAGACAAAATGAATATTGAATGCAATAAGAAATAAGAAACATATCACATTTAAGGGATTCCTTATACAATTTTTAGCAGATTTCTCAGCAGAAACCTATAGGCCAGAAGAGAGTGGGATGATAAATTCAAAGTGATAAAAATAATCAACCTAGAATAATTTACTTGGAAAATATATCCTTCAGAAATGAGGGAGAAATAAAAATTACCCCAGACAAACAAAAGCTAAGGGACTTTATCACCACTATATCTGCTTTACAGGTATTGCTAAAGGGAATTCTTCCAGCTGAAATAAAAAGCCCCTAATTAATAACAAAGGACACATAAAAGGAAAAAAAACTCAATGATATAAGTAATACATAGTTATAATTCTCAAATATTATGAAGTTGGACTGAAAAGTAATTTTATTCCAAGAGTTAAAAGACAAAACTATTAAAAACAACTGTATAAAAAAATCCTAAATTCATATGGAACCACAAAGACTCCAAATAGCCAAAATAATCTTGAGCAAAAGGAACAAAGCTAAAAGAATCACACTATCTGACTTCAAAACGTATTATAAAGCAATTGTAATCAAAACAGTATGGTACTGGCATAAAAACAAACACCCATCTTGGCCTCCCAGAGTGCTAGGATTATAGACATGAGCCATGCATTCAGCCTTGTTAAAATGTTTTTTATCAAAAGATGAACAATAACAAGTATTGGATAGGATAGAGAGCAAAGTGAACTCTTACACATTTATAAGTATACAAATTAATATAGCTATTAAGGAAAATTGTATGGAAGTTCCTCAAAAATCTAAAAATGAAACTACCACACAATCCCATAATACCACTTACAGGTATATATCTAAAGGAACTGAAATCAATATGTTGAAGGGATACCTGCACTCCCATGTTCATTCTAGCAGTACTCACAATAGCCAAGGTAAGGCATCAACCTACATGTTCATCACAGATGAATGGGTAAAGTGTTGTATACATACACAATAGGATACCATTCAGGAATTTTAAATAATAATCTTTAAAATGCTCAACAATCTCAGAATAACAATGCACAAAATAACAGTTTCAGCAAAGAACCAGAAAATTTTTAAGGTGCTAAACAGAAATATTGGAACTAAACTACTTGTCAATGAATTTAAAATAATAATCATTAAATTTGCTCAACAAGCTCAGGAGAACAATGCAAAACCAAAGTCAGAAACTCAACAAAGAGCTAGAAAATTTTTAAAAAGAGCCAAACAAATTTTGGAGCTGAAAAATATAACTGAACCAAAAACTTTAATAAATGGGTTCAAGCAGAATAGTGCAAGCAGAAGAACTCAAAGATGTGTCATTTGAAATTATCCAGTCACAAGAACAAAAAGAAAAAAAGAATTAAAAAAAGAGTGAGGAGGGCATAATGCCCTTCATAGTAGCTTCAAAGAAAATGAAATACCTGGGAATATAAGTACCAAAGGAGGCGAAGGATCTCTACAGAGAGAATTATGAAATCCTAAGAAAATAAATAGCAGAAGACAACAAATAGAATATAAATAGAAAATAAATAGCAGAAGACAACAAATAGAATAATATACCAAGCTCTTAGCTGGGAAGAATCAATATTGCTAAAATGTATATACTACTGAAAGTAATCTACAAATTTAATGCAGTCCCCATTAAAATACTAACATCATACTTTGAAGAACTTGAAAAAATAGTTATTCATTTTGTGTGGAACCAGAAAAAGCCCATATACCCAAGGCAATTCTTAGTAATAAAAACAAAGCCAGAGGTATCACCCTACTAGACTTCAGGTTATATTACAAGTCTACATGAATCAAAACAGCATGGCATTGGCACAAAAATAGATACATAGACATATGGAACAGAATAGAAAACCAAGAGATGGAACCAGCCTGTTATCACAATTTCATCTTCAGTAAACCAAACAAAAGCACACACTGGTGAAAAGAATCCCTATTCAATAGATAATGCTGGGAGAACTGAATAACCACATGTAAAAAATTGAAACTGGACCCACATCCCTCACCACTTACAAAAATTGACCAAGATGGATAAAGGACTTAAATCTTAGGCACAAAACAATAAAAATCCTAGAAGAAAGGGTGGGAAAAACTCTTGATGATATCAGCCCAAGGAAAGATTTTATGAAGGAAGACTCTATTGGCAATTGCAACA